AAGAAGAAGAAGAAGAAGAAGAAGAAGAAGAAGAAGAAGAAGAAGAAAAAATAATAATCATGATATTTCAACATCTGCCTATCCAAGGTCCTTGGAAAGGATTCAATAGGTGGAAAAAAATGTCAAATCCAATCTGAACATCTGGCTGATTGTGCAACAAACCAATTAGAATAATCTTCCATTTTTCTTGAAGCATCTGAGAAATTTGAAAGAGAGAGCAAGAACACAGCCAAATTGCAAAGCTGTTGGTTTGCCATTTAGGGGATTCATATTTTAGTGGCACAAAATGAAGCATCCAAGTTCCTTGATTACAACCAGTGGTCTCAAATCCAGCTAAGAAAATTGGTCCCAAAATGAGGAAAAAATAACCACTGTGCTCTTCATACCAGCAAATGATTAATTAGCAGCCTCGGTTTTTAATTACAGGTAGTGACTGTTTATATGAAATTTTTGTGGGACTTTCTCATGAAAAACCTGAAAATCGTCAGACTTGAATTCTGAGACATGCATAGGATTGCACTGTGAGCTATATTAAGCTCCATCTCTATTTTAATGGAACAGAATCACCAAAGCAATGAAATGATTTTTGAAAGAGAATGCATAACAGTTGACCTGGAAAATTTACACTATTTCAAAGCTTTTTTTGGGAACATTCTAATCTGCATATTTTTAAGGAGCTACCATTCCATCGGCATTGAGTTTGTTACTTTAATTGGGCCTGAAAGTATCATTATAAAAGCAGACAGACAGACAGACAGACACATACACACACACAAAATCTGAAAATAAATGACCAAAAAGTCAGAAATCTACTGCATAGATAATGTTCTCAAGGCAAGGCTATAAACACTTGAGAAATAGGCCTGAATTTCTTCTGGAATGGACCTGTCGCCAAAAATAGTTTTGTTTTTCGTGTTTTGCTAAAGGTTGAGATATAATTTTCCAAGTAAAATCCATCCATTGAAGTGGAAAATAAGAAGAGACTAGGAAGAACATTGACACAAGTCGGATAGTTAGTCTTTGACTTATGACCACAACTGAGCCCAAAATTTCTGTTGCCAAGGGAGACGTTAGTTAAGTGAGTGCTGTCCTGTCTTGCCATTGTCCTTGGGTCTAGTTGTTCTGGTGTGCAGTGCCCTATAGCAGCGTTTTGAGGGTAAGAGTTGAAACAATTTATGTCCAGGATGTGAAGGGTCTGTAGACATTTTCACTGCCCTCTTTTTGACTCATGCAGCGTACAGGTCCTGGATGGAAGGCAGGTTGGTAGCCATTGTTTTTTCTGCAGTCCTAATTACTCTCTGAAGTCTGTGTCTGTCTTGTTGGGCTGCAGAACCAACCCTGACAGTTATAGAGGGGTAGATGACAGACTCAATAATAACCTCTGTAGAACTGGATCAGCAGCTCCTTTGGCAGTTCGAATTTTCTGAGTTGGCGCAGGAAGAACATTCTTTGTTGTGCTTTTTTGATGACATTTTTGATGTTAGGTGTCCATTTTAGGTCTTGAGATATGATAGAACCTAGAAATTTGAAGCGCTCTACTGTTGATGGAAGTGGTTTGTCACAGTTTCCATCTCAGGAGATTCTTTTCATTTTGCAATCCGTTTTACAGTTCTGGTAATTCCAGAAGATCTCTATCCAAGCACTAACCAGGACTTACTGTGGCTTGTGACCCTGGAAAAACTGTACTAGAGGTTGCTACTTCCAGAGACTTAAAGACCCTTACTTAGAAACCATTCTTATTGAATTCAATGGGCCTTTTCTGCTGAAAGCAGGCGTAGTTTTATAGAGCTTAGCTGGCCATCATCATTTTGGAAGGAAGATGAAACACTGATGTAGAGAAATTGTGTCCTTTATTGTTTCAAAGATAATTGCTTGCATTTCCCAGTGCCTGAAGTGTTTGGCTTTTTGTGAAGAAATATTTGTTTGACGGAATAATAAGTTTTATATTTCCGTGTTTCTTATTATGCTCTGACCTATTGTTGCAGCAGATCCTGTTTCCAAATCAGGACACAAGACCACGAAGGGTAGGAGAATACAGGTTTATTTGCGCAAAAGGTTCAGAGCATTAGCATGGCAGATTCTGAACCCC